CGGGCGGCTAACCTCGCTGCTGACAGGCATCCATCCCACTGACCTTCAGCAAGACAAGGAATCTCTGCAGAACAGAATTGGAAAATAGATGATTTCCCTACAGAGATTAGCAACGATTCTCATCTTACTGTCAGCTTCTTTTGTCACAGATGACTTACAGTACTCACAGAATAGCAAACACCACTTTGTGGGAATTCCTTATGAATGCAGATTACTTGTATTTGAGATGATAAGAGAACCAAATTAAACAGTTTGAGGCGCCTGCTAAGTGTCTCGTCATCAAAACTGAGCTAATCGATGGGAGAGGCTGCGATAATTAACCATTAGACTGAGCCAATTTAAAGAGAGGACTATTTACTATAAATAGAAAAAAATGTAAAACAGTTATTGCAAATTGTTAAGGGCTACGTCCGCTCATTACAAATTTTGTCAAAAAAAAAAAGAACAAAAACGAGAAGAAAAACAACAGAATTATTATAGAAACTGAGTCTCTATCTCCCCTTCTCTTTACAGTCGATAGTGAAGAATGGCAAGCAGGCGATGGTTCTGTTTTCCCTCTCGGTTACCGGGATGAATCAGAGAGTTGTCATTTCCAACCGCCAGGGCCGAACGCAGCGCTCCGGCAGCGAAATCCCCAGGGAAGGCGCCACGGAGGAGCCGGCGCCAAGTAGGAGACGATCGAGGCCAGCGGAGGAGAGCAAGGAGGACAAAAAGTGTTGCTCCAAGTGCGTCTGCAAGCCCATTGACGCAGACACCATCGACATCTACGCCAGGGCGGTGTTCCCTTTCACTTTTGCTGTGGTGAACGTGATCTACTGGGTGGCGTACACGATGTGAGGAGGTGGCAGAATGTTGGGGGCCCGCCATCGGAAGCTGTACATAGGAGACTGCTGGAGTTGTGACATTTAAATGCAGACTGTGCAGCTGACGTCCACCACTGGCTTCAGCAAGAAAGAAACTTCAAATGAAAGGAAGTGCAAACTGTAAAAGCCTGTGAATGTAGAAATATGGCATCTAGTGGGAGTAGTTAAGAGTTTAAACTGTTAGAAGGACACAAAAATATGCTACATTATCAAGACAGCTAAGGAAAGTTTAAAGGCACGTTACTTAGTTGCCCGTTGGAGGTTCACGTACACATTAAGATTTGCATCCTGCTAGATGAACGCCACTAAATACCATAAGTTCCCCTCAGAACAATCACAGTTCCCTGTCCCTCTTTCATGAGCCCTCTGCCATCCCAACAACCAAAACACCTCTAAGGCAAGAGGACGACAAGATGAGGTGCACTGCTATTCTGCATGGCTGAAAACTCATCCCCACCTCCAACCCCCACCTTTTTCTATATTCTCTGTCCCTCCACCCATTTCGTTTTTAGTTCATTTCCACATTTAGGACACAGTGTGGAGTGTCTTATCTCCTCCTGCCAGTTCTGCCTGTTTCCTTGTTATTAAAGAAGTTCCACCGCGATCACGTGCGTCTGTCTCAATCTCTCTCCTTGCTGCAGATAATCACATGGATGTTAAAGGAGTTGTTGTCGGATGTGATTTGAGAAACAAATTAAAATCATGCCCGGTAGATGTACACTTGCACAATTCAACAAAAAACTGCTTCTTTGGGAACATGAATAAATCATTTTTAGATGATTGCAGGTCACAGTTGTTCTGTTACACACTTTTTATCCACGTCTTTCCACTGAAGGAACTGGGAAATTGATTTGAGGAAATTCTTGGTGGAAAAAACACCACTTGTCCTGGGCCAATTGTGACATTCTTGGAAAGCCAATCCAGTGTCTTTTTTAACGTAAATATTATTGTCAATGGCTAAAATTTCAGACTTGTTAGATCAATAATGCAGAATGCTCAAAACAGATGGCAATTAAAAAAAAAAATCACAGCTCAGGTGGCAGCTAGGTATGTGTGATGGTGACAGAAAAATCACAGAATGTAAAACAACATGGAGAAATATAAGTAATTAATTTTCTGATCATTTCAGGACACCTATATGATACTTAGTATCTAACCAGAGAATCCCTAAAGAGACGTTTCTAGAAGTACAAAATTCATTTAATTAAATTATCACTGGGCTTTAAACAACAACCACAATGACAAAAAGCATTTTTATCTTCCCAATGCCTCCTACCAGTGTCAAACACTCTTTCCAAAGAGAAACACTGTTGATCTGGAATTAAATTAATGTTAAAATACTAAAACTATGCATGTTCATTTTGGTCTAAAAAAAAAAAAACAAATTAAACTATTCACTCCAGTTCAACTGGATCCATCAAGTGTTCTAAAAGTGATGGCTCACAAGTTGACATATCCAGTAGTACCGATTCACATTTAATAACTGGATCAACAAAGCAAGTTAAAGTTTTGGGTGCTTTTAAAAGCCTCTCAAAGGCAAAAACAGACAGAACCTGTCATTCAGCATTACACATGCAACACTTGCCCTTCTTTTTATCGTTGTGGCAGATGTGTCAGGATCTTTCTTCAAATGCAACAGCTACAACATTTCCACACATGACCTCGGTGATTACTCGGGGAAACCATCTCGACATCTTTTCCCTCTTTTGGTCCCATATTCCCGTGTGCACAGACCGAGGGAGCTATCAGGCCAAGCAGTGTGGCGGCGGATCAGGGCGGGTGGGAGTGGGGTGGCTGGGGCGGGGCGCGGCGCTGTCTGAACAAGAATCCGACAGGCCGGGTTCTCCCAAGCTGATAGTTTTGTTCTGGGCCAGTTCAGATGACATCATGGCGGATGGTAATGAAGATGTTGGCGCGGGGGGCAGGAAGTCTTATCTCCCAACCATGATGTTGGGAGGGCTGGGTGGAACACCCTTGTAGTTCACGCTACAGCACACAGATGCTTCTCTTCGGTTGCCTTGAATGGCAGTCACTCCCCACTTTGCTCTCTCTCTCTCTCTGAAACACACACACACAGACATACACACACACGGATCTGACATGATGTCTCCCCCTGAAGCTGGAGGATATTAAAGGCCGAGCCAGCCAGATAGAGGCCTGCTCACTGTGTGTGACTATCATTTCTTAGCACTACAGAGAATCAGTGAATTTGCAGAAATTCACCGTAGACACTTGTCAACCAGACGTCTGACTTCAGGTTTGTGCTGCTTGCAAATTCAAAGTCTCACTTGTTAAATCGGTTTCGCAAAAATAACTTTTAGCAAGCATAAACGACCACAAAAATGCACGTTAACCTCAAACTCATGTTCCATTCAGTAAGAAAAATGGTCTTATCTTATTGTTTTGCTCTTTTACTTTTCTCTGGTGCATTCCAAGTTTCATGGTTTGTGGAAACTACATTTGGTACATACTTGTGTTAAGGATTCTTAGGGGCTTTAGTGAGAATTTTTTCACTAAAGTCATATAATATATGACTTAATATTCTGTGACTCCTAAGAAAGGTCAAAAAATATCCCACTTGCACCTTGTTAAAAATACATTTAGTTCACTATATGTTAGATGCATGTAAATCTTTGCAAATGCTTTGGAATTAAACAGACACTGGCAACTAAATAAAGTATATATTCTATTATTAATAACATAACACTTGTATAATTGTTCCAAAATAGCAGCCCTGAATAAGTATGATCTTCAAAAATTGTTTTATGAATATGTAAATATGTAAATGTATGAATATGTAAATATATTACGTTAACTTCAATTTTCACAAAAAAGTAATGAGGTAGCATAACAAAGAATACTCTCAGTTTTTTATTTTTATTTCAGAGCCCTATTGTCTACTTTTAAGGACGACAAGTCTAAGAGGGACATCGTAAGGGCAGAGAGCGAGGTGAGGTGCGAAGGGATTTTTCTTTTATAAGTTGCCTTTATAGTGCTGTTGGCTTTTAAAAGCACTCTTAAGAGTGCACACCATATTCTCAAACACAACAATCAGTAAAGTGGGGGCAATATAAGGGACAAGGACAACTTGATGCCAACAGTAAAATGCCAACCTGTCAAAAGATGGACTGCGTCTCTTTATCTTGAGCTCAAAAACGGGAGAAGCGTTAAAGAACAAGCTATAAAAATCGTTTAGATTAAGAAAATACACTAAAAAACAATTTGCCATCAAGGATCATTTTGCACTCTTTTGATTTTCCGACAGGATTTTTCACTTCATTGACGACGATGTGCTGTCAGTCAGTTATTGGCCAGACTGTAAACACCTTCCACAGAAATATTTTAGCTTTCAGTAATCTGTAAGATGAAGGGTACACTTCATCTTGAATCAAACCAGGCTATGCAAACATCGTGAGAAGATGACATCAAGGACGTCGCCTTTTTGGCACCGTTTCTAAGTCAATAAATCTTAAGACCCGGGGAAAGCCTCCCGAGTCATTTGATATTGACTGCAGATCAGTTTAACTCCTGATTAGTAATCACAGCTCACTCAGAGTCAACCCTCAATGATCTAGGGCTCCTATCCCGACAGCGAGGGCTTGTTTGTACACAGATGCAACTACTAAAAGTTACAAATGATGAAAGCTGAACTGGGGTTTGGACTGAAATGCTCTTGAGTGCTTGTGTTTATTCGATGTCGTCACGTCGAAGCAGCGTGGGTTTTACAGTTTTTCTTGAATTTATGGGAAATGTATTCACACCATTAACCCCACAAAACACATTGGCATGTTGGCACTGTGCTGTTGACAAGCACATTTTGTTAGATTCTGATGTTTATTATAAAAAATTATTTTTAAATGAAGTTTTTTTTATTTTTTTATTTTATTCAACGCTTTTACATTTGTTACCAAAATGTAAAAGATACTTCAAAATTCATTAGCTTTGAAAACTATGGTTTTCTTAAACTACGCTACACATGGTCAAAACAAGGTTGAGTAAACTAATGACATGCATTGGCAACTAAACATGTACAAAACTTTAAGGGTGTATTTAGATTTTTATGGCTTGTAAATAAATTATAATCGAAAATAATCATATTTTACAGCGGATGTTTGTGCAGGGATTCCTTGCTGCATCATGTGTCGCCTCTTGAGCATCTTCCTGGCTCTGCTGAGTCGCTTCCTGTTCGCCGTCTATGGAGTTGTTACTAATAAAGGGGAGCCCCTCTACTGGCTGCTGCTTTCAGGTGTGACTCTGCTGAGCGTGGAAACGGCCCTCAACCTCAAATGCACCCGCAACGCAGAGTGGAAATGTCAATGTTTCAATAAAATACAACGTCACAATGACATCAAGGAACAGTGTTTCAGAGTCAGAAGGTGTGACAAACAAGACCTCATATAATAGTGTTTATAGAGTCATTCACTTTAATCGTCTGATAACACTGAAGAAGGCCACGGTAAACAAAGTAGATCAATATCAGCTTTGGTAGTAAGAGAGGCTGAAAGGTAAATATTTGTTTGGAGCCGTTCTGGCTGCAAGTGACTTATTTACATTAACTACGGCCAAATATACAGATGATTCTGAAAAGAACTGAAACTAAATCACTGCTTACTGGTTATTTACGTGCCAACACTGGCATTGCTAATTAAAAAGCAGGACATTAAACACTTGTGAGCAATTGACTCATAAATAAGCATCAACTTTTTTATGCGTTTTGGTGCATATTATTTATACACAGAGGAAAATGTAGAGCAACGTTTGGTGTTTAGATAACTAACCGTTGTAAGGCATACAAAATTAAATTATAGTTGTTACAAAACAGCAAAATGAAAGTCAAAGTAGAATTGCTATGCTGAGAAGTGAACAAAAAAGTAGACACAGGCACCACTTGTCTTGTGTCAATAGGACGAAAGTATTACAGAAATGAAAGGCCTCCGTTTGCAGCTGTCGTTTGAGGTTTTCTCCCTTTAACCAACCTAACCCTAATCGCCATTGTTGATTCCAAGATGAAACCAGACTTGAAGGACTTCCCAAACTGAAAGCAGACATTTTGAACAATGTCAAACACAAAAGGTATTTTTTGAGAAAGAACTCCCTTCTCCGGTGGCCGTGGGATAAATTAGCAAGAGAAAAGAAAACAAAGGGGATTCCATAATGTCTTGTCTCTATTTCAAGGCTTGATGTGAGGTTTCAGGCACAATTTACAATGTGTTTTGTGTGGGGCGGTAGTAAATTAAAACTTGGAACTTGTCTATGAGCAACTTGTAATCCATCTGCTCAGAGCCATGAAAAATTGCTGAAATTGTCAACCTGTTCCCAGAAGCTCGTTCCCGTCTTTGCCTGTCGTTTGTTGTGCCGTTGCTCCGTCTTACGCTGAGCCAATGTTGCAGGACACGCTACTGCATCCCTGTCAGAGCCTGTCTGTGTGGTCATGGAGCAAGCCTCTCCAGCTAGCCTGAGTCATTCCTGACCCACTAGCTTTCATATATATATATATATATATATATATATATATATATATATACACACACATAAATATATGCATATATAAGAGGCTTGAGTCAACATAAATTGACTAAACCCTTTTAACATGAGCCTCAAATGGATACAAGCATTTAGTGTCACACCTCATTCAGCGGCAGGCTACATTTCATTCAAAAGCTGTAGCTTTTAGGCACATCCAGACTGAACATCCCCAGACACAAGCTTTCTTCAGGCCTCTGCCTTTCTCGCTGATTCCTACTTTGAAGTTCTCTCCTCATGAAGGCTTTGCTCTGTCAAGTGGGATTTGCATATATGATGAGAATATTTGCCTGTCTGAAATGTGATGCTTCTTTTGGGGGAAACAGGCACTCTTTCTTCTTTAGTGGGTGGTAAAGAGAAAGGAGCAAAAAAAGAAGAGAAAAAGCATTGCTAAAAATATCGTACTATCACCTTCTTAACCCAACGATTCTCTCCTTCGTTGTTCCCATTTTTAGGTTTTCCCCTATGGTTTTCCTCTACCTCATCCCATCCATCTGGTTTCTGGAGCTGAGCCTATTACAGTCCAAGTTGCCCCTCAACACTTCCTCCGGCCATGAGTTTCATTTGCTGGCCCACATCCCCATCACAGTGGTAAGCATCCCAACGCCAAACTGCCTGGCCGGCCTCACGCCACATTGAAGTGACACCTGATAGCAGATAAGATTTAAATCTTGAACAAAGACCGATGAACTATTAGTGACAGAGAAAGTGTTATAACGCCTGGATTGCTTGCTGCTTGAAGGTTCAGATCTCCCTTGTGGGATGGTCTTGGTATGGTTTCTTTCATGTGAGATTTTTTTTAATTTTTGCCCTATTCTGCGCAGAAGGACATGAAAACTTATTGTTTACAAATGGAGGAAGCTTAAAAGTTACTGTGACAATATATAGTCATTTGAAAGATCAACAGCATAAGAAGCTGCTTCACACTTTATTCTTCCATATTAAAAATAGAAAGGACAGATTTTGATTTAAGGATCTAAGCAAATGTTCTTTTATTTACTGCCTTGTACCACAGACTTACATGTATTTATTGTATTCTAATATGATGGACCCACACAAAAACTGTAAAGTGAAATGAAAAGATCAGATGGTTTTAAAATGTTATTTTTTTACTAATGAAAATTGGTGACGTGTGGAAGGACCTCTGATACGCCTAAATAAAATCCTAATGAGTTAATACCACTCTGATTTATTCTCTAAATGAATCCAGCTTGTCTATGAATTCTAACATCAACATGTTTGAATGGCCCAGTCAAAGTCCAGACCTAAAGCCTACTTCCAAATGTTGGCAAGGCTTGAAAATGTTTTTTTATGGCACACTCAACCTATCCAGACTGAGTTTGACCTATTTTGGATGGAGAATGAGCATAAATGTTATTCTACATATCTGCAAAGTTGTTAAAGATGTTCTGGAAAAGTCTTGCAGTGGTAACTGCAACAAAGTCTGTTCCTACAAGGCTGACTGAAATAAAAAAGTTTGCCACATATCTTAGAGTTTTATATTTATAATAGAAAAGTAGTTTACAGTTTTGATGCTTTTTAAAACTACAAACTGCTTTGTGTCAATCTATCACTAGTTTGTAATTTTTTTTTTTTTTTTGCTGCATTAATTCAAGGTATACTTGTGGACAATGTGTTCATTTACAGTTTGAAATTATGAGACATTTTTGTTCCAGCTGCATCTTTAAAATGATGTTCAACATAGAAGGGATACAAAAAAAATCCACATTAAAAGATGTAAAACTAATGTATGTGTTTAAAATACATCATGTGAAATGATGAAAACTGAGGAGGTAATTCGGCAATTAGACTCAGGTGTGTTGGAACAGGGACACATACAAAGTTGCAGGACACCTTGTCCTTGAGGCCTGGACTTTAGGAGCCCTGGATCAGACTGTGGTATTTCCCACAGGGCATTGAAGAACTTGAACCAGAGAACTGGGTGGCAGGACTGGAGCAGATCATGCTTATTGTGCTGGTTCTGGGCTGCTGGCTGATGCCCAAAGGGGACATGTCACGGGACCAGCTCTCTAAGCTCCTCATGATATATCTTGGACTGGGTGCTGATATCCTAGACATCTTTGATACTTTCAAGGAACCTGAAGTCAAAGGCAACCGGGTGGTTGTCATAGTTGATCTTGGAGCTCATGCAGTTTCCACTGGTTCTCACCCAGACTCGAGCCTCACAGGGTGACGTTCCTATGAGCTGGAATAGCCTCCTTTGCCGTCATCAACCCTCATCGTCATTATCTTCTTGCTGCTGCTTCAACGAAATATGGAGTTTGTTGCTTACTGTGTGGCTGCAAGATGCACCGTTCCTGGCTTATCGTCTATACCTCATGATAAAAGAGCAAGACCAGAACCAGCTGATGATTTTCTTCACCTGCAAGAACATACTCAAAGTTATGTCCTTCTTGGAGCTTTACAGAATCTACGTGGTGCAGTTTGAACAGCAGGAGTCAGTGCTGGAAAGACGTGAGGCCCTGACAACCTATTGTCAAACCCTTGGAGGGAGTGAGGTGGAGGATGCCGAAGGTGTAGTGCAGAGCAAAGCCATTGTATGGACATGGACCTGGGAATCGAAGGAGAGGAAGATCATAGACTATCTACGTAAAGAAAAAGCAGCAAGTGTCGCGAGACATGACTCTGACCCCTTGGGAGACAAAAATGGGGCTGCTTTCACTTGTCAAAACGAACGCTGAATGTGTCAACCATCCCTTGCATCTCAGCCTCATTCTAAGACAGTCTCAGCTCTCAGGAGGTTCGGGAGCAAGATATAGAACACAGAAGAAAAGTCTGTCCCCACAAAGGCAGATCAGACAGGATTTCTCGCTGCTCTCTTTGATGAAACCCAAGAAAACTCATGCAAAAAAAAGATTATGTCAACACTCTGACCCAAGAGATGTTAGTTTCTCATTCACATAAAGCAGTTAGTAATGACAATGGGGAACAACACAGCAGTGCTCTCCTTCTTTGCATTCAACTTGTTTTAGCTGCAATGGAAACAGAAAGATTTGATTAAGGTCTGTGTGAGCATTCATGATGGCTTTCACTATCAAATAAAACAAAAAAAATCAGAACGAGAGATGAAACATTTTCAATTGTGCTTTTAACTGTTAATAAACATTTTCTAATAAAGGCATGTTAAAAAATCTTCATTAAAATAGCGCGTGCATGTTTATTTTACTTTGCCTGCCATGAGATGGCAGTGTTGTCAAGTCAACCGAAGCACAAACACTTCTCTGGGCTGAAACACACATAATAGTCGCATGGAAAGGGAAGCATTGGATGTGTTTGAACTCCAGCACATGTTTTGTTCTGGAATGAAAAATCTCCTGTATACGTCTTGTTCGCAAGACAATGAGCGCAGAGTGTGTGCAGCTTGACATCAGAATTGAATTAGAACCTTTTCAGTCACCTTCGTGCATTTGTTTTGCAATTAATGATGAAATGTAATCAGCCTAAAGACACCTCATGATAAACGGGAGGCGAGGGAAGAGGTCTGCCTCTTCCTTCTCAGGTTATTTCCCTCCTGAGCACAATCAGCTCACCACAGCCCGCTTCAGACCTCGCTGCATTTTCATAATGGCTGAAAAAGCACACTTGTGATTATGAGGGATTTGCTCTCACTTGCTCTCTTTTGAAAGTCGGGAAAGGTGCTTTTGAGAGATTCCTCCACATGGCCACAAAAGCAAGAGACTCTTAAAACAGCCTATGAGGACGGACGGACGGGGGGGACATTTGATCTGAAGCCCAGAGTCTTAAGGTTTCAAGTTACTTCAAGGTTGGGACAAACTGGCATGGCACAGCCCGTCCCCTCAGCCCCTCGATCTGCACAATAACTCTCCTGTCAGATGGAGGCTTGGATACAACCCTTCTGCATTTATGGATGACCCTCTTTGCTGTGCATCTCCCGCTTCAGTGTCGAGGCAGGTGGCGACTGAAGAGCGCCAATGGCAGCAAGTTTCAATTCAATTAGGGGTTTTTCTCAGACAGCCCCGTATTTGTGCCCATCAAATTGCTGCACTTCACCTGGCCTTCACTGTAATGACAGGAGCTCTGGTTGCTCAAGAAGGCTGGACTCTGTTCCCTCTCGTTGAAAATAAAGAGAGGAAAGAGAACAAGGATGCGTGCAAGGTTCCCACACGGTCGAGAAATGTGTGGGAATTGCTTGGAATTTGGGACTTTTAGTACTTTTCAGGATCAGAGAAAGAAAATGTATGGAACAAATATATTAATTTGTATATTGATCCTAAAGTGAAATTAAATTGTTTAAATTAATTAATAAGTTATGGGTGTTGGCAGGAAAGATCTTCTGTAGTGATCTGAGTTACAGCTACAGGACTTAAGACATCGTCTCAAATATTTGTGTTTCCAGATTTTCTTCCGGTATTGTCTTAAAGTTATGTCCTTCATTATATCCTTCAATCCTTCCTTTATTTCCTATCTTTTTTTGTGTCTTTCTTATTTTGTCTTCTTCCTTCTTTAATTTTTTCTTTCCTACTTTGCCTTTTTGTCAGTCATCCCTTAGTTTCATTCTTTTTTGTACCCAACCTTCCTCCTGCATTCCCTGTGTCTTTCACTTATCTTTTTCACTCTCTCTCAAGGATCCATCTTCTCTTTCTTTCCTTGTGTATACTTCATTCTTTGTCTCCTGTTGTTTACAACTAAGAGAGTAAAGACACCTTTTTAAGTGTCCTTCCTTTTCCTCTCTGTCTCTCCTTCCAAATCTTTCATTTTTTTGTGTCCCTCCTCCTGTTTATGGTTCCACATTTAAGGCCACATTTATGGCAGGTATTTCCACCAGCAGAAATACCTGCCATAAATTCTTAGTTGATATCAGTCTTTTTAAGATTTTAAAATGAACGCAAGGGAAGATGAACTCTTAAATATACAAACCCTCTGTGTGCTTTTCTCCTGCCCAATCCAAGTACAAAAAGCCTTGTATTATAAGCAAACTTTTCTAAGAAAATGACTCTCGGCTACCTCTGAAGGGTTTCTTTTGAGAGCACTACTGTGTTTCTACAGTCGCCTGAATAATTAATTAGAGAGTCATCTTTTAAGAGTAATAAAAGAAAGAGTAAAAAGAAAAAAAAAAATTACACAACGTTCCCTGTTAGCTGGCAGTTCCTCCATTCAAATAATCCTCGCAGCACATGGATCAGTTCACAAAGTCACTCACAGGCGCGTCGCTTCACATGGGGCCATTTTGGGGCCACGGCTTTTCCCATATAGGCGCAAGAGTTTTGGGAGAATCCGACGTTCATGTGACATAACCATGTAGGCAATACAATGGGTTGATGAAAGCACGGCTTGCTTGTGAAGAAGAGTCCTTTTCCTCTTCAGATTAACTGCATGCTTTAACAAGATTGTGTGGGCATGTGGGAGGATGGGGATGTCAGCTGATCCACGGGCTGCCCTACATAGATAGATAGAGAAGAAGAGAAGAGCGTGGAAGCTCAAAGCAACTAAAGCAACGGCACACAGATTGAAAAAAAGAAAGATGTCAGGCCGTAGAAGTCCTCCGCTGTAATTACCTGCACATCAACTCATTAAGCTCAATAAAAACTGGCGTTTATGGTTGCAATACAATTTTTGAGAAAATCATCACGTTTCTGAACGCGGTGGAGTCGCTGATCACTTGGAACATGCCATTTAGTTGACTGCTGCTCTAAAAAGCAGGGACTCAGGTGGTTTGTAGAAGTCTTGAATTTATCCATCTGGTTGTAATTTGCTTCAAAGACACTCTTTGCAAAAGCGGTGGGACTTTTTCCACTGTCCAACTGCTCTGCCTTTGCAGTTAAACCAATTTATTTTGTGTTTTTTTCCCACATTTGCAGCGGATTGCAAATGTGGACAAATTTAAGCTTGCTCACTTTTTTATCTACTTGATCATGAAGGAGGCTACGCTATGAAGCTTACCAGAAATTGCATCCACTTTTTGGGGGGTGAATGGTTGTTGCTGGATTGAACGCTGTCTTTGCAAGAAATAAAACATCTCAAACATTCCTCTTGGTCCGACTTTAATTACTCAATGTTTTGGAGCGAGCATGGCCACCACGGACTGAACGGCTTCGTCCACTTCCTTTGCTAAAACCACAGACGACGATTCTAAAACGGCGCAGAAAACTGATGTCATCATTCGCTACGCCTCCTTCTGTTCGCTGATTGGCCTGGATGAAATGCATCCTGAGAAATCGAGCTCAGTGGGAGGAATTCCAGATGAAGCAATGCAGGAAGATGAGAATCCAGCAGAATAATTGAGTGGGAGGCCAGTGACACGCAGCAAAACATAAAATGTCTTGACCTGGGGAAAAAGGTCAAGCCTGTGAAGCCCTTGCTGCATAAGACTGAGCAGGGAAAGAAGATGCATAGTGATGATAGTCGGATAAAAAAGGGTAGATATAGAAATGAAGAGGGATGTATAAATAAAGTAGTCTACAAGAAAGGCAGAGCACATCTTCATGTTTCTTTCTCCTTGGGAATGTTTTGTTAAGTATATGGACTAATTAAAGACATGTTCACATTCTTCTTCAAAAACTACTAAATGTATTTTCTTTCTATTAATAGTGGCATTAACGGTTTGCATAAAAATGAACTGATTACAGCAATCAATCGTTCTACAGCGAGTCAAAAGAAAGTAGGGATGCACTGATTGCACTGATCACCGATCTATAAAATGCTTGATTGGCTGATTTCAATTAGGCAGATTGTTTTCTGTGTTAAATATTGCAAAAAGGCTGCTAACATGGCAACTCATCAGCATCACAATGAGAAAGGGTGATTGTTTTTGACCGCTCACTGTGCAGATGTGATCTGGTGTCAGTCACCCCCTCTCTCATGGCAGAACAAAAGGAGACAGTCTATCTGTCTTGCAAAGGTAGATAAGATCGGTGGATAAGATTAGTTTCAAATTTTCCAGTCAAAATCAAAGAAATCACTTGATCAATCAGTGTACGCTTAAAGAAAGTGATGGAAAAAACAAGTTGTTTTTCATCCCTTAACATCTTCCACTGTGAAGCCAGCCCTCTCCATCCCAGTTTGCCTTTTGTCAGGTGTAATATTAAAAACAAACTTTTCATAAAAAGTCAGAACTACGGAGGAGATCCAGGCTCCGTCAGAGTGACATTTGTTCAATCTGAGCAGGCTGTATTTCCCGTCAGAGCGAGAAGCATCCCCACCACATGCCACATTTTTCCTGTTTTGTGTGGACTTATTAGTCCACACAAAACACAGCGAAGTGAGAACCATCGGCCTTGATTCCTACAGATAAACCCATCAGCCTGCCACCGGAACGTTGGAGCTGCGGTGGAAACGTGAAGAAACAAAAGCAAACTTCAAATGAACCCCACAACTTTCTGACAGGCAGCTGAGGATCCAGCTCACTCCACTACGGATGGAAACTAATGAGCTTTACTTCACCATGTGTGGATCAGAGATGCTGAATGACTGACTTGTTTTCTCACCGTGGAGGATTTCAAGATGGAATAGACCCCTATAGCATACAGGATCTTCATGACCGACAATACATCAGCCCTGGAAGAGTTTCATGCCTTCTCATACACGCCGTCATTGCAAAGACAAAGCCTTCTTTTTTTGGTTACAGTTTTATTTTTAAAGAATTTTCTATTAGCCTCATATTTTTAAGCGCTTCTCTTTGGACCGTGTCTACTTTTAAGCACCTGCCAACAAAGCATTTTTC